CTTGTGATAGCCGTGTATAGACGCCTTCACTATGTATATGGATATATGGACAACCTCGGTGAGACTCACCCGGCAGAACGTGACCTACCCATCCGTTGCGTAACTGAAATGCAACGCATTGTTGGTTTCGATCATAGTATCGGTCAAGCTATGGTTGTAGTTGTTTAGAAGCATTTCTCCGTTTTAGAGAAACGGAGCGCTAACAGAAAACATCCCTGTCACCTTGAAAGGAGAGGCCTTGGCAGCGCGCCGGCGAACAAAATTGTTAGTACAAAACCAGGGATCCCGGAAAGGCTCGGGCCGAAATAGCAAAAGGATTGGCGTAAGTTTGCAAATCATGCAAATTAAGCGACTGAGGAGCGCAGGATAACACTATCTGGCTTCATGGTTACCATTTGTTTCGAACGCCGGTGTCCCGGTCTACTATAGAACACCGAAGAATGTTTCTGCTCTTGTGTTCCCTGGCGACTTTGCTTGAAGCAGAGGACGCTTTCACTTTTGTACATAATTCGTTTCTCATGATAAACCTGGTGCAGGTGGTAGTAGCGAGAATAGCAAGTATGTTAGGCTGATCGAATTTGTATGTTTGGCTATATAGGTCTATTTCAAGTCGCGTACTATCTTACACCTGTGCTGTCCGTGTTCTGTGTGACACCGTCCGGTTGAGTGGCTGCTTACGGACTAGTCAGGCCTGGTCAAATTCACCCCCGTGGGGAAGAATAGATTTCGGGTAGCAATGACCAGCCGCGAAAGGAGTGCTCAAAAGATGATAACCAGGAAAGACGAGCATTAACTATTAAGTGCGATGGCCTTTGTAGTTTCTTCGATTTTATTGCTATGCTCTATTGACAAGGGCAGTTATCGCGGTTTCGAGACACGAACTGTTTGGAGTTTTATGGGACACCCTCTGAAGGAGCTGGTCTCAGTGGGCTTTCCCCGTTGTTTGCTATTGTCATTGTTCTCTTTTGGCCTAGCTCTATGAGACTCTGTAGTATAAGCCTGTTATCCTACGCTGTTTTCAAAAATAGGTGTTAAAAGGGTGAAACAGAAAGGGCTTAGGGCAAAGAAACGATGCGAATGCGATAAAAAATTACAGCAGCATTTAGTGATGCCCCGCTTACTGCCAAACCCCTGTCTCTGTTGCCCATGACAAGGGCAGTCCGCTTACTATTTTGGCTCTTTTAACTAGAGGAAACAGATAACAGATAGATGCGTTTCTGTGTGCGCATTGTCTAAATTAGCGATGACACTGCGATAACACTCATTGAGTGGCTGCATTTTGTACCTACTAATCGCAGGTACGTGTACACCTTGTGGTTGAATTTCACGGCTTTCATTGCAATGTAAGTACTAGCATGTAACGTAAGTATTTCATTGATGAACTTTCAGAAGCATCGATTAGGAAAAACAGTGCTAGGTGCAGTCTTTCAGCAGAAACCCAAGAGTCACAAGGACATGCATTACAACAGAAAAGAACGTTGCCTTCCCGGCCCATAGAAATGTCAAAGGGTCGAACCATATACATGGTATATATGGAATTGTTTGTCGTTTCGTTGTTTGTGAAGCAAACCGCAATGGCCAGCTCGTAAGACTAAGCTATTAGTAAGCCATCCGCATAGAGGACACTAGATTGATCCACAATTGCCTATTGTATATGTAGGCAGCTGCTGCAGGTAGCCAGACGCTTTGCCGTTTGCGTGTCTCGCGATGATGTGCTTCTTGATAGCCAGGAGTTAACTGAGTGGCATTCTCCTTATAGTCGAGGATTAGGAATTCGTCCTGAGAGAACGGTAACCGCCGAGTCTCTCTTACCGCATATTCTTACTATTAGCGGGTGGCGCTTAAAGCCAGTGCTACTGCAGGCGGCTATCTTGACTCGGCTACCATACGGATGCACCCTTGATCCTGTTCGGCTGGTTCGCGTATTTGTCTATCTGTATCCGTGTGTGTAGAGCCTATGCTCATTCTACATGGGCGGGCCGTTTCACAATGCTGGCAGATCGCGTGCCTTGGCCTATTGGCTTCTGCCCTCTGTCTATCCGCTGCAATCTCGTACTGGGTTTACCCATCCGCTTGGTTATTATTCCCTTCGAAGGCTTGGTTATCATTCTCCGCTCTCCATCCGACAGTCGGATGCAAACAAATAATTTGGCAACTACTGTAGATAGTGTACGCGTTCTTCCTGTATCCTTTCTTTGGTCTGCTCTTATGGCCTACTGTATTGTAGTCCACAAAGCCTTCGGTGTTTTGTTGTCAATTTATTTTCGTGCTAATCGAACAAAAAAAGGAAGTTCTCCATTTGCTTGTGATTGTCGCGAAGGCAATATTGTACGATTTTTGCGATTCTGTGAACTTAGCAGGAAATTCAGCATGGCCAAAGTGGTTCAAATAACAATAATGTTTATTTTTGATATAATTCTGATATTCCGAAAAAGTCTTAACACATAACGATGAGCAAAAATGGTCAACAAAATAACCAATAGCAACATATAATAATAAGAGAGTAAATTAATAGAAAAAAAAGGAAGGGTTGACAACAATATTTCAATTCCCTGTTTTTTGTATGCGTGCTTTGACTGTTTGTGCATTGGACGGTGCGAGCAGTTTTTGAAGCCGACTATTTGCCATCTCCCATTTGCCATGGGGGGGAGGCACTTATCGTAGAGTATGTCCAATTGTTGCCATTTGTCCTTCGCTGTTGTCTTCCTGCTAGTTACTAGTAGACCTATGATCTCTTCCTCATTCTATATGCGGCGACGGCTGTCTGAACGAAGTGTTTTGCCGCCGATTCTTTCTAACACAGGCCTTTCGTCCGTTGTTACAAAGTGGTTGGTGTCTGTCATTGATAAATAAGCGGAGCTGATAGAGATGCCAGAACGGGATGATTGGTGTTTTCCTGACCACTCTTACTTGCATCACTGTTTGCCTACAAATAGTAGAAGCTACGGACAAGTAATGAATATATGCATCGATAAGCATGTGAATGTGGCTCTCTCTCTCTCTCTCTCTCTCTCTGTCTATATATATACATATATAAAGGGGTAGACCACATCCCCGGCGAGCTCAGCTATGCAGAAAATCGGCCATCGACATGACCATTGAGTCATCGAAAGAATGCCAAAGACTTCACCATTATACTCTCGTGCTACTGAGATCGATTGTGATGCGAGTGACAAGTTGGTTCCGTTACTCATGACTAACTATTATTTCGCCCTTTAAATGTTGAACAGCTGAATACTCAGCTTGAATAACGAGGTATCAATGTATGTAAAACCAGACAACAGAGCTCGTAAGCGCGATAGGGAAGCACAGGTTTTGTCAGAGACACCCAAACACGACGCCTAACACCCGTATGGCAAATAAACAGATGGAGAAATTTCATTGCGAACATTGGCTGCGAGAACAGCTCATTTCGTCAAAGGCATTAACAACGACGCTAAAATAAATGAAACTCGTTGTAGCACCATATATATTTCTATTGTTACAATGCTCTCCAGCTGCCTACGAGCTAAGAACTAGCCGTCATTTTAGTTTAGCTGGCAATACCGCAAATATGGTTGGCGTTTGCTAGAATATGCTTTACTAACGCCAAAAGCTTCATAGCACTCTACAGGTAAACAAGATAGATCTATACTATTATAAGGGTCATGTCAGACGACAAAACTACACCTCTTCATAGCAATCCAAAAGACTTACATAGATGTTTTACCAGTTATAAATCAACAGAACGATATAGAGTTGAATGTAATAGGGAAAAGGATAGAAGGGTAACTTCAGCACTTTTCCGATACCAAACCGACTTAGATAGAATATTTCCAATAGTGATACTATTGCTACCATCGTCCATAATAGTTCAGCATGGCGCCCTTCGAGTATTATCGTGATCAAATGAAAACGCACATTCACGACCCATCGTGTCTGCTATAGAGATTCAGCCTACCTGCCGTTGCGCTCCTACCAACCATACCAAACCATCCTACCAACTACTGCAGACCCTCTATCGATTAATATAAATAGATAGGAAATAAACATTTCACCTTATACGTAGCACTAGCTTCTACGAAAATAAGGAAAAAAAAAACAAGTATTGTTTATCTTTTGCTCGTATGGCTGCTGCATAGTGAATAGAAGACCAATAGAGGTAATTTCTTAACAGGAATAACTGTTTCTAGTAATACAGCAGGTATTTATTATTCCAAGGTAAACTGTTCCAAGTTCGACGGGCACGAGAATAACTATTTTAGGTAACTTTGTCGATTAGTACAAATCAACAAAACAGTATCGTAACCGTTTTACTATTGGCAGCTGGTGGGCGCTCTGAGAAGGCACAGCGAGTTAATATCATGATAATTCAAAAAAGTAGGTACATAAATATTTTAATTAATGTTTTATTTACTCGCTATATTATTCCATTTGCAGAAACCCGTTACTAAATTTACCACATATGCCCACTCTAGTATAATTAAGTCGTCTTACTTACTTTAGATAACTATACACTGTTTAGGCATGTATGCGCCAAAAGGTTAACAATTTAAAGTTGACGTCTGGTTCACCCAAATGTTCATGTAGATAAAGATACGTAGTCAATATCTCCGTCATGCGTTTCTATCGAGCATATACTGCTGCAATAGGCACCTTGCCTAATATACGCGAACAGCAGAATGCGTATTATCGCTTAATTACTGCTGTCCCACGTGCGACGTAGGCCTGGTAAACGAACAAACGAGTCTAGCCATCTAGTCAACCCAACATCACCTAGTGACTCAGCGTGGAACGAAACATGCAGGAGTCTACCTGACCAACCTCCACAGACTTTCCATGACAACATGTTTCAGCCTTGCTTCTGCATTGACTTTCATCGACTTTCATCGTACGTTTGTTTTCCACTTTCCTCCCCTTTTTTTGTTTTCCGGTAATTGGCGTTGTCGTAATCGTCGTCTTCTTGGCCGGTCTTCGCGCACGCCTCGTCATCTTCATATTTGATCATTCCGTCTCTACAGGAAGTGGCTCACGAACCCGGTTCGGAAGCTGAGCCATGGCCGCATCGACAAAGGCCTGGAGGGCGCAGATAAGAGCGAGAAGGGCAGCCTCGGAACGGGCCAAGCCCGGCCTCCATCGGGCCAGAATAAGGGGATCGTGGTGCAAGGTCAATTGGCCCAACACAACAACGCCATCTCAAAGCCACCGCAGCAGTCAACAAACAAGGCAAGTCAATGACATAAAGAAAAAGACGTGGTTATTATTTTTATTTAGTCTTTATTTTCTTTTAAAAGTAGCTGAAGATTTTTTATAATCTGCTCATATGTTGATTAGATGCTGTGTTATTTGTTGGCAACTAGCGCTATCCCCAGCCTCTCCTTGTATGATACACGTAAGTCATACGAGAAAATTTGCTTTGTACTGATGTAAATGTGGCATCATAAGCGTTTCGCTGTTGTAATCAATTATTTGTTGTTACCATTCGGCGTTCTTTAGATTTTTGTGGAAAGGTCCACGAGATGGTCCAGTCAGTGACTGATGAATGTAAAATATTGTTTATATGGCAACCGGGTCTGGCCTGCTGACGACTGTTGCATATAGAGACATTGACGGCCACGGAGGGGCCGTAAGAAACGGGGCGATACATGACTCACAATAGCCTAATGGGTTGGACTAGTCGTGCAGCTCGTCGAAATCGACTAGGTTAACCACGAAAAGAGCTGGAGAACTTGACGCCAATAAAGCTCTGAAGACTCCTGGCGTGAAATTCTCAAGAACTGACACAAGTCTCACATATGGCGATGGCCGTACTGATGATGCCGGTAGTGGGAAAACAACATCATCGAACTGAGCCAAAGTATATTTAACTATAAGTAGGGTATACATAAGCACAGGAAGTAATGAATAAGAAAACTATTCATTATAGTGGCCATAGCATCGGTAGTAAAAGGAAGGCATATAGTCATATAGAACATCGGCATTGAAGATCGTGTACGATTATTATACAAGAGACTCAAGTTTGACGTGTAGTGTTCATCGAGTCGGCGCTCACGATATGTGAATTTGCTCTGCTAATAAATAGCTCGAATAGTCGGTCGGTCGGTCGGTTAGGTCAGCGTGCCCCGCCCGGCACATGACTCAGATAGGGAAAGTCATGACCGCAGATTACGGCGTACACAAAGCGACAAATAATAACATCAGTCAAGATTAGTATATGAATTTTTATGAGCCACAAATTTGCCTGATGAAATGATTTATACTCGTCCGAAAAAATGATTTGAAAAACGAAAACACCCTATTCTGCACGGCGCTGGAATCAAACTCTCGCTCTACAAACAATATACAGCCCGAAGCTTTAAAAAGCCTTAATTTATCCGTTGTACTCCCTATCGAAGCTGTACGTATATATATATATATATATATATATATATATATATATATATGCAGGTTCGATAGAGAATAGCATCCGACATGACAGACATACACCTATAGAATGCTGAGATCTATAGCACTTCGCGGCGGAGATAAGTAAATACCTCATATCCCGGTTCCCTATTTGTGCCCATCGGTACTAAGATATTATTTATAATACTGTTTTCTAGCGACCGCTACGTGTCGTCACTGACACTCATTGCGCCAGCCACTCCTGCCAGTAACCGATATTCGCTATAACATAACTACCACCTCCTCCCTATGTATCGAGTCTCTGTATATGTGCAGTGTTGTGTTTCTGTGCTTATCTTTACCGTAGCGAGCCCATAAGGGGCGAGCTCTTGCTCGTAATCCCGCAGCTGCAATACTGTATGCGGCGATGACGCTGCTGAAGATGGCTGTCTCGATAGCAATATCCGTGTCGATGACGCCAATTATTCTGGGCCGACTAGTATCGTAGTCGACGTCGCTTCTTTTGTCGCTGGCCGTACGTTAGATCGAATTGATGCGTTCCATATGTATCTATACGCTTTGCACGCGGCCGAGAGTATATGCGTCTGCATATCAGTCAGTAGGATAGCAAATAGATATGTGGAATCGAATGATTTAGTGAATATGAAACACAAAGAAAACTTGTGCAGTGTCTACTCTATAGAAGCGTCAGTAGCAAAAGCTGGTTGAACGCGACCGGTTAGTGACAGTTGCCTTACGGGTTACCTTATTACCATCTCCCCATGATTATTATATAGAGTACGTAGTCGGTGTCGGGCGGCAGCCAACATCAGCGTTGCAGCAACGTTAGCGTACCGCACTGCACCGCATTACCAATAGCACATATCGTCTACCTGTTTGCTCGTAATGCTCGAAACTAGCGCGGTCGCCCGTAACACACGGCCAACAAGTACATATAGCCACCCCTACTGTGTCCTATCGAGCGTGGCCTCCCCAGCAATGCTGGGTCCGTTACATATAAACGTATGAATGTATTTATAGATACAGAAAATAGCGGTCAAATTCAAAAGGCACAGAGAAAAAGAGAGCGTTTTACGATGGGTACAACGTTGGCCCTTGGCCGCTCTGTGAACTCAGTTAACAGCACAGTTGACAGCCGCTAGTAGGGCCTGCGATTGCCATGGCTTGATGTGACAGGTTGATCGATTTTCGTTGGTCGACTGCTTCTTGGGAATACAATGAAAATATGAGTCTGGCCTTAGAGTGACAGTAGAGTTTACACCAGTTTACCCCGGCGAGTCGACAATGCGCCATTAATGTGATCTCTGACTCGTTTTAATGATGGTTTACGTATCAATCGGGATGTTAGGATGAGGGAATTAGGGATTGAAATTGTTTGTTATGGCAATGATGGAAATGTACGAGTCGTTGTTAGGTTGCGTGAGTACTAATTATGCTAATCCACCGTTGGGGAAATTTGTGAAGGTATTGCTGCATCACAATGGGTTAGGGGGTTCTAGATGGTGTTTAGGATTGGGCAGCGCAATTAATACCTATAGTAGATTTATTTATCGGGCTAGCTTAATGGTCATTAGATGACTGTATATTAAATGCGAATGTTTCTTCTGTCGCTGTTTCTGTTTTCACGTACGCATTGTTGCTGATGATTTTTGTCTGACAAAGAGCACGTTTTTTATCGACATACGATTCTGTCGACGTAAGTTCGTCGAACGCTGGTCAATGTCGAGCCAGCCTGAGGCCGAAAGGAAGGATTGAATTGCTCATTGTTTTTTTGGTCTGTTTACTTGTTAGGTGTTGAGCACAAAGGATGAAGCAAGTCATGCTGAAGAAGAGGACACAGCCCTCGGCTCGGAGCTCCCACAGCTCCCGCCACCGATGCCAATCCAGGAGCACCAGTTCAAGCAACTTGACACGCCCGCCGCTTCAATCATGGCTGCGGCCGCTGCGGTATCGAACAACGCTGAAGTGAGTTCTCCTAATAACGTGTACTGCAGCATATATAGCTAATAAACAATGTTTTGACAACCACGGAGTACGAAGTGAGGGTCGAGTTCTGGAATTCCTTTCTTTTACATTTCCAGCATAAATTCTTATTCTTCCCAAGTCTTGATGTTATCATTGTAGAGTCTTTCCGCCAGGACACGCCTTAAATCGTAGCGTGACCAATATTAATCGAGACCATGCAATTTTCTAGCGGCTTAACCTTCCGCGGCATTTGGCTGTGGTTTACACAGTCGAGTCTCTGGCCGAAAGGTGCCAGAAGTGGTTGTTTTAAGTTCCGCCAACGACACATAGTGCACCACCTGCATAAATAAAGATAGCTGAAGAAAGAAATAAAAAAAGCTGTTTCGCGATGCGCTCTTCCTATATTTGGGGTTCACGTGTATTTCTTTTTGAAATCTGGGGCTGTTCACTCGGACATCGTGACTTGTTGCAGTCAGGCACTGAAAGTCGGAAAATTCGAATGGCTTATGAACATGAATTCTATATGGAAAGTACAGTGGCAGATGCGGCTCGCCGTTGAAGTTTCTCGTTGTCTTTGGTAAAAGTTTAACTGGTAAAAATGCAGGAAGTCGTCAACTTCAAAAATTCCACGACGGAAATTTTTGACTTTGAAAATTCAGTCTCGTGGAAGAGTCGCTCCAAAGAGGAATAACGAAGTGTTTTGTGTTGTGGGAGAAGCTATATAGAAGCGCATAGGTATCAGCACTCGTGTTTAATGCATATACCATATTTGTTCGTTTCTATAAATTAGACGAAGGTGTGTCGCTTAATTTCAGCATGAATCTAAAACCAAGACGTAGGGACGCCTGTTTCTCCTGTGATATGAAATAGATATGATAATCGCAGATGGTTAAATCTACAAACGGCCGCAACTAGACCGATGACCACGTTAAAAATGTACAGTTTCAAAACCTAATGATGCCCGTTCAGCCTCGTAAGTTCTGCTTTCTTGATTACGGGTTAATCGTACTACAAGCAGTTGGCGAAGGCGACAAAAAAACCTTGCTTTTAAGCAACCCAGAACTGAACGATTCCTGTCACATGGCAACGCGGCCGTATAACATCGCCAAAAACGCTGGAAGTATAGTCCACCATATTTGCCAGCCATCGCTTTCACTGACTGCCTTTTTTCTCGAAGCCTCAACAGCCCCCTCATAGAAAAATTGCTCAGATGATGTCGAAATTGTCTTTTGCTATTTCATCGACTCTCATATTCCAGACTCTTATTCTATATTTATATATATATATTCTATATTTATTTATTACTATCCAAAAGGCAGAAGAGCATAGGTAATGCTAATGTATATTTGGATTGAAAACAAAATAATTATACCTGTGACAAAGGTTCGAAAAAAAAAGTCCTGCTTTTGCATCTATATTTACATCGTATTCGTTTATCTCAACAAATAGGATTAAGGTAGCGCACAGGAAGTTAAACCTATACTATTTTGGGTAATAGCTTTGTCACGTTAATTAGCTCGAATGTGTGAATATTAGGGAACAAATTATCAAAAAGGACACCACGTGTTATAATTTTCTAACTTCTTATTCCACCGTACTGAGCTATATAATAAGCCTTCAGCAAAGAAATATGAGTTACGATAGTTATTTAGACAAATAAATTAAGACTCTTACGTGGTCGTAGATCACGTGAGTGGTGTTGAATCACTCGTAGTATAATAAGAGCCGACCTTTCTAAAAATATGTCACTTAATGTGTTATATTAACACATGCTTAAGGCTCATTTTTTTTCCTTATTTTGTTTGACACGACCACAGGACTGCGATAAGTCAACTGCGGCACTGGCAACTGAACTCGAGCATATTGTCAAGATTGAAGAGCTACCAGCCGAAGAGCAAAATGAAATTAAGGCACATTTAGAGAAGAGACAATTCGTGTTAAGGGAGCTTGTCGAGACGGAAAAGGACTACGTGAGGGACCTAGGCCTCGTCGTTGAGGGTTATATGGCGGCTATCCGAGCAGAGTCAATACCGGTGCCAGAGGATTTGAAAGAAGGAAAAGACAAAATCGTATTCGGGAACATTGAGGCGATCTATGAGTGGCATCGGGACCTGTTCCTAGCCGAACTCGAGAAGTGCCTCGAAGAGCCTGAGCGACTCGGCCTTCTATTTAAAAGGTAAGCTTCACTGGGCTAAAAATGACATGAACTATCACAATTGCAGTAGTTCAATTCGCTACGTTATCCATAGCTCATAATGGCCGTCTAAGCGCTCCCTAACTGTCATCCCAAGGTTCAGTTATCATGAACGAAGCATACCCGTTCAACTATGTAGCCGACTAGCAGGCTATTGGCACTATTCAAGCTGCCGTTTGCCAAATTCATCCATTTACTGGGTAGAAGCAGTCGGGCTTCCGTTGCGTTTAAGTAAAGCTTTTTTCGCTGATAGTGAAGCACCGAACAGCTTTGTCGAATGAGTTCCAGTGCTTCGGAAAGCTAGTAAAAAATTAACCGCGTCGATAATATTGCACCCACTAGAGCTCTTCCACGAACTGTCGCAGCTGAAAGTTTACGGTGGCTACTGCAGACATCACTGTTCGAGCCGATCGGTCTCTGGAAGCGGGAAGAGTAGGGTCCGGCGGTAAATAGGCGTAAAGACTATGACCACGCCGATGTTTTTACTGTATATGCGTTTGGGCAAAGGCCTGCTGCTAATGAGGCTGCTGATGGTGATGATGCTCAATGTACGTTTGGCGAGCTGACGAGCAAACAGGCGCCCGCACTTATCAGATCGTGATAACACTTCCGTGCGCTATTTGGCTAGGTTGTTTTTGTTGCTGCTACTGCTGGAGAAGGCCAAGCGTCATCAACTGGCGCAACTATAGCAACAACGATACACGACGGCCGCTAAACGGCGGGTCGCTCGCCCATCTCCTGAGCTGATTAAGAATAATTACTCCCTTATCATAGTACTACCGTTATTTCTACAATGAATCACGTTACGAATCGTCCACATCGCACTTCACACATGAAAACCAGTCACAGATAACCAACGTACCTAGATAGAACGACAAATCGATGATGCTACGCTGCGCCAATCGCTGCAGTATCAGCTACATTAGCGGATAGGTCGATAGTTCTGTATTTGGCATAAATACCAGCATACGCCGTGCAGCTGACTTGTCGTACGCTTGTACCATTATTGCTACTGTTGTAGCTTGTGCTGTAGTTTTGCAGTAAACGACGTCCTTATCAAAATTGTTTACACTGATACTTGCGGAGCAATAGAAGTCAATCAAATCAAAGGTCTCTAAATAGAGTGCAACAGTAGAACTACACGAACAAAAAACTGCATCCACAGTAAAAGGATGAGTTTTAAATTTTAGAAAATGTAAAATCTACAAAAGTTACATGAACATGTTTGTGACAAGGCTTTGGAGGTTGAATAGTAAATCATGGCAACAATTAATTGCAGTTACTTAATATGTCCGTTCTTAATACTCATTTTTATACGGTATAGAATGAATAAAATACGTAGGCCTTCTTTGAATCAGACGTTCAGTTATTGTCGTTAAAAGAAGGTGCCGTGTTGCATAAATGCTTGGCCCTCATTAGATGAACTGCGAAACTCTAAGTCATCTACCTTTACATTACCCTTTATGCTGCACATATACTTGGGGTATGTTTAATTGTTAGCGTGAAAAACCTGAGCCTGAATCTGATCTTGGTGCATATTTTCCTTACCCGATCGAGCTTACTTAACAAATATGATATAACGTTCGTTGATGTTTCGCGTTCGAAATTATCTGGACTTGCGTAGTTTCTGCTGTGATTATATCGCTCACAGCGGCTGTACAAAATTAACTACGAGATCATGTGAAAGGGTACTCGCTGTGCACTTCAAAATGACGACAGTGGACCCGCTCTCATAATAATATATGACCAATATATAAAAAATAATAATTATTATGACATGAATTACATTGATACATTAGTGAAGATAGGTTTTTTTTAATTGTAGATACGAACGGAGGCTTCATATGTACGTGGTGTACTGCCAGAACAAACCAAAAAGCGAATTCATTGTGTCCGAATACATCGACACGTTCTTCGAGGAACTGCGCCAACATCTGGGCCACAAGCTCCAGTTACCTGATCTACTTATTAAGCCCGTAAGTTGGGTCAGGTTACTTAGAACTAGTCCGAAAGTCCTGCAAGTCATGGTTTCCAAGTAATATCAAACATATACCGAACCATGGCCCAAGCTGATAAAGGGGTCCAGGGTTTAGTGGCTAAGAGTCCCACGGTACCGGACAACGCAGTACCGGATGCAATGCAATGCAATGCATAATGCATTGCATTGCGTTGCCCTTAACCTCCAAAAAAAAAAGTCCGAAAGTTCTTACAAGACCCCTGGAACAACAGTAACAACGAGTCCCCTTTTATTTGTATTCCAAATACTACCCGTAGCACAAAATTATACTGATGGACATCTAGTATATATCTCTAGAGCTAATATTCACTGATATATCATTATTAGTCCCACATTAAGCTGGCTTATGACTAGTTTTACATGAAGTACATAACTAGCTAGTTGTTGATTTTCCACATATAGCAACATCCCCAGCCTCTGAATATATTATTGTTTCCACTTGCAATGCTTAATTTGTACTAACCGTAATTTTTTTCATACCTATTGTTTTCTGGGCTCTTATCGGGCCGACCGACTGATAGATTCAAAGAATCATGAAATATCAGTTACTGCTGAAAGACATCTTGAAATACACGGAACGGGCGAAACTGACCAAAGAGGCCGAGGACTTGAAAAAAGCGGTACACGTGATGCATGTCGTACCGAAATCAGCCAACGATATGATGTGCGTGGGAAGACTGCAGGGTTTCGAAGGCAAAGTTACTGCGCAGGGCAAACTTCTCCTGCAGGGACAGTTAGCTGTGAGTGATGCAACGTCGGCATCAGCCTCATCTAATTTCGCCCAAATCATGGCTACCACGACCAAACTGAAAGAGCGGCAAGTGTTCCTCTTCGAACAAATGATTATCCTCAGTGAGATGGTAGGCGCTAAAAGCCAATTCTCCACGCCCTCGTTCATCTACAAAAATAGTCTGCAGGTGAACAAGATGTCGTTACACGAAGATCAAACAGACCCACTCAAGTTCTGCCTCACGTCGAAAAACCCATTACAGGTTCGTGTGTTTGTACTAGTAAACCGTGATCTGCTGGTGTTATATCAGCACGCTATACACGTCCATCTAACGATTATAGCTTGCATAATGTGCTATAGTTTCTAGTCGACTAAAGTTTACTTAGAAATACGTGTTTGGCTCTGCCATGTCGCTTGATACTTTTCCATACTGACCTGCAGCCCGAAACACACGCATAGAACGTCTTTGTGATGTATATAAGGCATTTAAATCTACGACAAACAGTAGTATATAGCAGTTCCGCAACTTTTTAGCTAAATTCAGCTGACGCTCTGTTCTTGCTCGATCATGCTTTTTTACAGGAGGGCCTTACATTAGTTCTTCAAGCACAATCTTCTGAACATCGCCAGGAGTGGGTCTCGAACATTCGAGCCCTATTGGATACACAACAGGATTTTCTCCGTGCAATTCAGTCGCCTATTGCTTACCAAAAGGAGCTCACTAAAGATGTGTACGTATTTTGGCAGTTAGAGGGAAATAAGCTGTTTTCCTCCTAGTAAGCGACTCCATTTCGCGTGTCCTCTCGTAAACGCGTCTGTGGTTTGAGCGCACGACCATAAAACAGCTAATTATAACCGAAATCAATAGTCGTTGAGTGTAGTTCCTTTGATGATCTTTATTCATGTTCTAGTATTTTTACTATAGCCCGTATAGACTACAACAATAGCAATAATAATAATACAGGGTGAGAAGGCGCCCGCAACCCTTCTAGCATCCTGTTGTGGAACTTCGTAGAGTTATACGATTTGATAGCTTGATTTATTGCGTCTATTATTACTAACATGTGTTCGATCGAGTATCTTGCTCTGGCGAAACGGATCTCTTGTAGCATAACTGATAAAATACTTTATCATATCGACATATTGAGAATTAGGTCGGTGTTCCGAAAAAAAAACAGGACTCCAAACACGTGGTTATTGACATTCTCCATTCCATCATGTGCGCGTACGGCGTATGATTCATAAGCCATACTTACCTCGCCTTACCCGTGTCTCGAATCGCAATTAAGCGGACCTTTCTAACTGCCGGAAGCGAAGACAGGTTGACATTAACATTTGTTAGAGCTGTTTTCTTTTTATTTTTCTGCTGCACTCTTGTCATCTTAGTTTGGTACTCTTTTGTAGACTGACTGACTGACCAGATGACACGCCGTGTGGCTTCCGTTTCTATGTATTGTTTCAAGTTGTAGATGCGTTTGCTTTTCCTAATCCAAGAAGATATATCTTGCTTCTTCATACGTTTGCTTCTTCGCGGACAGCTTTTGTTAGCGGTTGTTGACTTCTCTAAAACTAAACAGATAAACTAAAAGTTACTAATCTATATCGTAGATCATCAACAGTATTAGTCATCGACAGGTTAATGTTGCCCGAAAGCCGACCGAACTTACGTGAACTTGAGCCCTGATTTATATATACCTAATCTATATATCTATTTTGTTCATTAAACTGAAACTTACTAGCAGTTTTCTGGAACCTTCTTCTGTATAGATGTAGATAATAGAGTTTGCGCCTTGCGATCTTCAGCGCTCTGTGTGTAAAATGTAAGATCTGTTCCCAAAGCAACAAAGACAGATGCATTTCTAATCAGTATAGATAATGACAGATTCTATCAATTCTCATATGCGAAAAAATAACGAACGAGGTTTTTTATTGAGCTCAGTTTGTTTTTTGTTTGAGTTTCGAGAACATTCCTCTTTTTTAACTTCATCCGTATGAGTCGCGTTTAAATCTTAGTGCAATAATAATGGCGTCTAATGTCGCTCTATGTACTACAAGCGCTGTGTTGACAGTGCCAAGATAACGGTATTTCAATCACCTTATCAGTGAATCCCATGCTTTTTCAATAGTTATCATATTAAAATAGAACTTTGAAGCCTGATAGAATTAACTACCTACGCATTAGCAATATGACATATAGTTCCCTATACCAGTATGTCGGAGCTTGCTTATGAATGCGCGGATCGGTCTCTAACCTAAACATACTTGGTACTGTAATGATGATGATTGAACCCCAACAGGCAGCAGCACCCGTAGTCCAACCTGAGCCCAACCGAAACCCCCAACGCAACCATCGAACGTCTGTGTCAGTCGATGTCAATGCCAGTCGCATTTGCCAGGGTTATGCAAGGGCCTCCGCCGAAACTAGCGAGTGGCTGCTTGAGGCCGTTCGTTGAACCTTCCGCCCAAACCAATCAACCTGCCTAAATTGCCCGCCACTACCCAGCGGCTTCCTCCGCGCCGCCTGTGTCCGTCACACCAATTCTCTATTTTACTCCCATTTACATCGTAATCCAAACGCATTATTCGTACCATACTTCTCGCATTTGTTCTATGTACAAACCTGTCCCAATATAGCCATCTCTCTTGCTCCATATATATATATATATATACCTAAATGCTGAATCGTAGGCTCAGGGGCGCAAGAGACGCACTGGCCCAGGTTCACATGAAGGGCAGTGTCAGTATCTCCTCGACTATTTGTATTTGCTATATATATATATATGAGATAACAGCCGTGGCAGTACTAAGGATGACAATAACATCAGCTACGATTGACAGCAAGTAGTTACACAACAACGAATAGAGAGGAAAAATATGAACTTGTTGTTGTGCCAACTCGATCTTCCATTCAGACTGTACTATATGTATGTATGTATGTATGTACAGAACAACATAACAAATATAAAGTATACGAAGTTCAGCCAGTAAAATACTTATGGATTCTAAACACAGTAAGGCATTTTCACCATGATTCGTCATGTAACCGGAAAGACGTAATGGAAAGAGATCTGTAGGACAAGGCCTTTTTGCTACGAAATTACAAATGATGTAAAGCAAAGGTCTGCTAGATCTGTTCGAAGTCTTGTATGCAGATAAGAGTGGACGAAGTCATGTTGTTAATTAGCCTTGTCGATCAACAGCGAAAACGAAAATGTGTGTGAGACAAGTTAATAGATAGGAACTTCCTTTTAATAAAGAAAAAAAAAAACATAATTAGATAATCGATAGAAGAGAGAACCGATAGAGAATAACACACACTTGTGATGTTGTACGATCAAAGGGCGAACGATCATTGTTTTTGGTGAGGGTTTTAGATGATGGGATCAATGCCCATCTCTAGTGCTGTGGAATGAATAATGTGATGTAGTTTGTATGGCTTTTGCATCGGATGAAACACGGAGATCTCGAATGTTTTCGTTGATGTTTGGTTAATTACCATCATGCATTTACAGGACAGACTTCCCATGCCCGTCTCATTTTCCATCATAAATAATATGACCACTGAGCAAATAGGACTGTGAACGACGTTGGCGTTTTGCTTACTTTCAGTAGCAATGATAGATAAGAGCTTATCGGTGCCTTCCGATATGGCCGAACGATAACGCCTGTCACAGACTAAACGTAGCAAATCATAAGGCGCGAATTTTAGGGTAACGTCACATGATATGCTTCCCGAGCCACGGCTCCCATTTTGGATACGTTCGTACTATCACGTTACCCTTTCATGAAAAGCATTGGCTGGCGCTGGCAGAAAGACAGGCAAAAACAGACAAAGTTGGCTGGCTAGCTATTGGGTTTCGTGCCTCTTGACACTGACTGACAAGCTGAGAGTGGCTGCCATCATGCTGCTAAATCGGCTCGCTCCGAACCTTCTTCTGCAATCCTTCTTTTCACCGCCAACACCCTAAAGCGCAACTAGCACCTCACCAAAATCAACACCGTCAGGGCACCTCAATCAGACAACCCCGGATTGAACTCAGGTTTTCGCGCAAACGAACGCACCTGCGCGAAAACGCAGACTAAAACTGCCAAATGTGAGTCGTGAAATATGCGGAAATTATGCCATCATCTCTTCTTCGTGAGAACGCTGCCGCATCCCTGCGTACCGTCGAGGCGGTACGTTTACAAAAAAACAAAAAGGAAAAAAAGGAAACAGCGAAAGAAAAACATTGCGCGCAGAAGCATTACGGCACGCCTTGCGTTCTGCATATTGATAGGACATTAGATGGCCAGATAGATAGGAGAAAACAATCAGAAGCACTTTTTGGGCCCTATAGCTTGGTGCAGACCACCCTGAGGTGCTTCTCCGCAAGTTGACTTGCCTGAACCTTGATGCTGAGGTAGCAGCCGAACGCAGTCGAGTTGGAATTGTAGTATGGGCTTCTATGCCCCCGGCTGTATGTAACGGAATTGGCCATCAGTTGTTTGGAACGTGCCTTTGGGCGTCCTGGTGGATGGTGGCCTTGGCCTGTAGATCTCGGTTGTCACATACCAACCAAAGTAAGTACATCCAGGTGGACAACTGAGTATGCTGATGATGACGATAATTATAATCACTTGTAATTAGGACTCGTGAAAAGCAACAGCCGTCACCCAGCCTACGATGTCTTTACGATATCCAGAGTTGCTGTTCTTCTTTGTTGTCACCCACCAAACACGATTACCATCACGATTACCTTTACTTCTAGAACTGTTACAGAACCACAAACTCAGAACGCAAACCGCACGAATGTGCCTATCCTGTATTTCGATTATGTTGTCTGTACTTGATATACGCACATCTGTTTCTTCACGTTCCTACCATGCCGTCGTACCCATCGTTGTGTCAGCTGTTCAGGGGGCACTTTACGTCCGCGCCTATAATAGGTCTGAAATTTGCCGTATGCGCATAAATTCGTTGCGATATACATAAAAATCGTTATCCGTAATTTGCGTCATTATCATTCGCAATTTAGTCAAACATCTTTCGTAGTGCCTACTGAACTTGCTCGGGAAGATGTTTAACGTCGTTATAAAAATTAGGTTCGACGTCAGACTCACTGCCGATGTCTCATCTCCTATTACTGATGGTATGATGTTGATTAGGAGCATGACAAGCAGATTTGACTGCCACCCCGTCCTAAATGTTCACGCGTCTATAGGTGTTTATGTCTGAGCCTGCACGGTGTCTCGTTTTTATATAAACCATAAGTACATCTATATGGTGTATGTATATAAACTGTGTTAACTTTTTGTAGTTGACTATGTTTGATTAATTTATTACTGCGATTAGAGACGTGTTCTTCTGCTCGCACCGTGCAACTAACTAGAATTAGCGAAGTACACACTTGCTCACCAGCGTTATCTTGAAAGTCAAAAACAGTAGCCACACACCATAGACACAAGTTTCGTTTTCAACTCATGTAAATATGTACGATTGCAAGTTACATCATTGCCTTCGCTCGAATAGTCGATGCCATCTTCAAATTTGATATACTAACACGGATGCATCTATGCTGGTTTGGTCACTTACCGCTACTTTTTATTCTCGTTTAATTTGCTAATATAAAAATCCGCCTACGAGGAGACAGATTCTCCATACGATTTATTAACAGGATTCGTTGTTTTTCTCTATTATCAATGATTTCCCCTCTACCCCACCCTCTCTCTTGTTAAGGTCGAGTATGGACTGCTCATGGAACCCGTCGTTGCGGAAAACGCTCTCGCATCCTGCCGCAGCGCACAAAGTGGCTCGCAGTGGGTCGCAGGACGGGGGCAACCGCTCGGGCGGGGTCGGCACGAGCACTCGGAAGGACAGCGCACACCTGGCGGGACCGCATCTTGGTGGTCTCGGGCCCTCCAAGTCCGTCAAACATAGCAGTAGAAGTAAGCTGACAAGCGGTGACGCGGAATCCGGAGCCTTTGGAATGGCGGTGGTTGCCGGAGGAGCAGGCTCGGCAGCATCGCCGCCAGGTCGGACCCCATCGAAGAAAAGCCTATTTGAGGGTTTCCGCAACACGTTGAGGCAGTCGCGCGGAAAGGGCGACTCGAGCTCGAACTCGAATGGTGGCTTATGCTCCAGCTATTCATTGGACCGATCCAGCGAGTCAGGCACCGGATCGAAGGGCGTTATTCGCAGATGGTCTGAAATTTCTCCAAACAGTAACCCGCCTCAGCATCATCCACAGCAATCACCGCAAAGCGCAAGCAATTTGACAGCCAGCTCAGGCCAGACTCAAGCTGCTTCAATGGCCAGTAGTGGCAGCAGTAACCTAATTCAGTTACAGTCGTCCCAACATCAGCAGCAACCCCCAGCGACTAGTGATTCTTAGTGGTGCTCGCAGTGCTACGCCGACACGTGAATAAAACCACCTTTTCTTCTGCCTGACTCTTCGCCTGTTCTATAAACATGGGCAATGACTACGATTAATTAGCCAATGGGCAGCATGAATGAGTGAAGGAACCAACGACAAATCACTAAACATCTGTACCGACCACATCTGACAATGATACTGGGATATACGAGGAAGGACGATAGTACTACTAGTAATTGCTGAGTACCAACATCGTACTGCGTGTGGGCGCAAATATCACGTGCAAAGAATTTATCATGGCGAACTAGCGACGACCAAATGAAGTCGATTGTAAATGAATCTTTGCTACAAGTTACTCCGATAGCCAACGCACACCACAGTTTGGAGGTATGGGTAAACAAACACAAATACTAAACGATAAAATAAAAACAATAACAAAAAAAATATGTGCAGCAAGCCGTCTGCTTTTTCCTCTGAAAAAAACTGGATTGATTTTTTTTTGGGATTCCGTAAGACTAAAAGCAGGTGGAGCAGGTGACGGTAACCAGCCATGGCATGAAAGAAAGAAAGAAGGAAAAAAACAACAGCATGCCCTAGACGTATAGGGCAATGAATATATCATGCGAACCTTGTGGCTCTTTGCAATCGAGCTACTGCGAAAAATATGCCACAACGATAACAGCGTATACGCGCGTCTAACCTTTGTGAAGCGCCGTGAACAGGGAACTAGCTTGCTTGGAGATAAATGGCATTCGGATTGTCATGCAAAACAACAGAAAAATGGCAGTTCCACATTGAAAATCGAAAACTAATCATAACGCTTATTATATTGATTACTTTTTAGGTATTCTGTTTTAGCATGGTAGCGGATGATAACAAAGGATGGGCTATAACAGCTAGACCAAGGAACGCCCAGCTATATGCCCGTTGTTTTTGTAATTTGGCGCCAAGAGGAACAGAACTGGTCTCCTGTTATAATGGTATACCGAGGTCGACGAAATGAACAATAAGGATACATTATGGTGGACAATTGGCCTTAACCATAACGCAAGGGCGACGACTGATATAAATATAACCACATAAAAATATGTTATTGTAGACCGCACGACAAGGGAGCAGGCGAACAATACGCAGAGATATATAATAACACAAACAAAAAGCAAGCATATAAAGAAGAAATTACGACTCATCCTACGACTGATAGCTAGAGAAAGACTGTGAGTCTAGCAGTGGGTGGGGTACTATATGTTTAAGTTAGCAGAGGACTTTTGAGAGTCATGCCGATCGATGCGTAATCGACGAAGAGCGCAGGAAGTTAACAGCATTCGATGCGGTCTCTTCCAAACTCATTGTACCTACGTCACAGGGGAATCTACAGAGCCAGGTGAAGCTTCTCGGGTCGTCAGTGAGTGTGGGGCTTTTCTGGGGCAAAAATGACCCATGTGCAGAGAGTTTAGGTACGCCAAGTTCTACAATAGAGAGAAGGCGAATGAGGTGAAAGCCCCTAAGCGAATCGCCATTTTGGTAGTTAACGACGATATTTAATGGCCTCATTAGACTTATGAAGATTGCTAGTAAGATTATTGCAGAAAAATGATGTATTCTTAGGAGCAGAAGAGCGAAGCACAACGGTCATGGATAACGAGACCTTGATAACGACTGCAAATGTAATCTTGGAAGAAGGAAGGGTGATTGAAGCTTTCAATAGAGTACAGGCCTGGACGCTCAGTTCTGTTATGAACTATAGAAGCGGTTCGATTAGAGGAATGCACTATTCACACAATCCAAGACTGAGTAAACATCTTATTAGCAAAGGGGACAACTCCTGGAGAAACTTGCACAGAAAGCCTTGTATAGCAGATCAGCCCGATATGGTGAGCTAAGTAACTCGATTTGGTTGTCGATGAAAGAAATAGGACCCCGACGCCATCATGGAGCATATAACCACATGCACTAACGCTTTACAAATAGGACTAATTCTGTTCCGTTGATTTTGTATAAAATAGATCTATAAACACACTCATATATATATCTATATATATATATA